TCCATCCCTCCATTTTCCTGTTTATTCCATCACCAATAAAGCTTTTAATATCATCTCACCAATACGCATATGTCCCTTTTGAATACACTGCATGGCTTGCGTGATTGTCATGATTTTACCCATGATTCATTCTGTGCTTCAGTTACGTCAGGTGTCAAGTGCATTTAAGAAAAACATGGTTTACATTGATAAAACAGTACTTATAGCATTATTCCTCGAAGAGAAAAAAATAGGGAAATGGAGATATAGATGCTTTGATACTTCGGCAGCATGCCTTTATCGAAACAATAGCAGAAATTAATCCAAAGCTGCCTCTCGATGATACTAATCGATTTTTCAGGGTTTTGTTGAACAGCAGCGGACCACAGTTCATACAAGCTATCCAACATTCAGGGGATTGGACTACGAGCAATGTTCAGCCATTTCCATGGTATAGTGCATATTTATAAGAGCGTATGCGAACGTATGCAATGCGTATGTGTAACGTATGCGAAAATGTGTGTATATATAAGCGAATGCAAGCAAACAGGCATCCCGCATCACACTTCATTGAAACATGCAAAGGAGTTGATTTAAACAGGCATGACACATCACGCATCAATTATACATGCAAGCGATTTTAACTAACTAGTCATCGCGCATCACGCGTCAGGCGTCACTTACACACGCAAACGATTTTAAACTAGCACACATCACGCATTTAGGCACACATCGCGTATGCATGATTGGCCATGGTGAACCGTGTACGTTAAGGTTTAGTTAAGCTTGGTTTTCGTTTCCTTTTATAAAAATAGATTCACTTGTTCTCTTTCCTGGATGATTCTGTGCTCTGTAGATGACTTTGAGTTAAATAGAGTCATAGGTTCCATACCTCCCTGGATTTAATCCTGCGCGTTTTTTCCAAAAGGGTCTTCGAAACCTGTTCACAAAAAATGGTCACCGAAGCATGGATTCCATATTTTGTTTTACCGTCACGCAGGTGTTTATTATCTCTCAAGCAAATACGGCACAGGGACTCCCCGGTACAGACATCTTCGTGAGGTATGTCCTTCCCGTGTGTTTCACACAGTTTACACTTAATTTCGTAAAGCAAGTTTTTTGCGTGCAAACCCCTTGAGTCTCAGACTTACATAAATGACATACTTCGCCACCCGGATACGGGCTTCAAAGTAGAAGATTTCGCCAGAGACATTTTTAGCTTAACTTTGTTCGTCCAAGCCATGCGTACGCGCGGTTTTGATTTTCTAACGATGTGTCTGATTTTCCAAAGCAAGTGCTCATCTACATAAGGTAGCGTTAAGAATTCGTCGTCCGACGGGATGTGTTCCGGCTTCCTACCACCAATCCCCTCACGAACCCAAGATTTTTTCTTTTGCTCCAACATTCTACCCAAAAATCGAGGAGAATATCCATTGGCCAACAGCGAAGTCCACATGTTGTAAGTGCTCTTTGTTCCCCTCTAACTAATTGATGAGTTGTTTTGAGTCCTATGAAACATGTTGCGAATTATGTTGTGCTTAGATGAAG